AGAAATAGCACTTATTAATTATACTCTAAAAATTCAAGATAGCTGTCTGTCGGAAATCTTAGTTTTTCGATCAGTCACAAACAATGATATGCGTAATGAACATCGGGAACCTCTATGTGAAATGAAAGAAAGAGGAGGGTGCTTATTATGTTAAAAAGATGCTACAATGTGTAATATTTAGGTCACAGCAAAGACATTAAACATATCAAATAGACATGTCCTTTTGCAGAATCAAAGATCATTTTATGGAGTCAAAAATTTCTCAATAGTCATTAAATATTCACAAAATGCTGAATTGTAACATGATGAAATGAAATTCAAAATCTCAATGAACTTTTTTGTTCAGTTTTGGGAAAGTCAGGTTTAGATACACCTTTGTTATTTTAAGCCCGATTCATAGGGCTGTGACAGAAGTTTATGTCACATTTTTTAATGCAGAATACATAAAAAAAGAAGCTACAAAAATGCACCATGTGGGAAAATTTAATTCAACGAACTCATTAGAATTCAGTCATATTTATTTTTGTGTAGGAACTCCGGACTGTGACTTGCTGTGATGTTATGAGATTAAACTGAAATCATGTTACAGAAATCAAAAATATATTTCTGTATCACAATATGATGCATGTGTGGCAAAATACTACCAAAAATGCATTTCGAAACTCTACTTAACGTATCAACGACACGAGGGACAAAAATCGTCAAAACAGGTTACGTCACGAAGTTTGGTCTGTCGTTGAGATGCATTCAAAACGATGGAGACGGAACACAACTCGTGTGATTCTTTATTTACTGTGTATATCAGAAAACCAGGAGTGGTACACGCGACTAACATAGTAGGCATACTGCATGATAGCTCCCTTTGATAGCGATTTCGTGTAATCTCGCCGATTGCGAGTTCTTGCAAATGCAAAGCCAGACAAACTCCCGCTAACTTTATCATCATTTTGCATTCGCGATCAGCACTATTCCAATAATTAATTGACGCATTTAACATTATGAAGCATTAATTCAAACTAACAGAGCATTGAAATGTAATATGAAAGGTTCTTTGGTTTTTAAATAATGTTTTTAGATCATATTCACAACTACGCATTGCCTGTCCTCTCTTACTTTGAAAATTTCGAATAGAGCATGCGCGTAAAATAATCGGAGTTACCAAAATGTTACAGCTAGGCCATTGACTTCAAGCACACACACGGCAGTATTTAAACTTTTATTACAGCCATTTTTTTTAACTCTGTGAACATGAAGATGGGTCAAATTCGTTCATTTGAATACATCTACAATGTAGTAACTATATCGATTTTTTACATGTTAACATTAATTGTATTTGACACCTGACCCCTGCTGGTGACATTGAAGGTAGGTCAAAATCATTTCTTTGATGACACATCGTATTACTCTATCCCAGAATTTTATTTACCAACTATTAACACACTGACACTCTTTGTTATATTAGGAAGAAGTTGTTGAATTTATACATTTGACCATTATCACCTGATCACAGCATGCTGCTGGTCAAATATCATTTAAGCCCGGTAATTTATTTAGAGAAAATTTATAGCACTTCATTCAAAAGTACCAACTGGCCAACTATCATCCCCCTGGACCTTTTGGTTATTCAGAAGAAGTTATTTAAAGGTGTTCTTTTAAGACATTTGACCCCTGTGACATTGAAAGTGTGTGCAGGTCATTCATTTGAACAAACTCGGTAGCCCTTCATCCAAGTATGGTTCTGCCCGAATATCATCACCATTGACCTTTTGGTTATTCAGAAAAGTAGTTTAAAGTTATTTTTAAAGACAATTGACTCCTGTGATCTTGAATATTAGTGAAGGTCATTTATTTTAACACACTTGGTAGCCCTTCATCCAAGCATGCTACTGGCCAAATATCATCACCCTAGGCCTTTTAGCTATTCAGAAGAAGTTGTTTAAGATTTTAACATATTTGACCCCTGTGACCTTGAAAATGGGTGAAGGTAATGTATTTGAACAAGCTTGGTAGCCTTTTAGCCCAGCATGCTACTGGCCAAATATCATCAACCTGAGCATTTTGGTTATTCAGCAGAAGTTGTTTGAAGTTTTTTAACATATTTGACCCCTGTGACCTTGACTATTAGTGAAGGTCATTTATTTGAACAAACTTGGTAGCCCTTTCATCCCAGCAAGCTACTGGCCAAATATTACCACACTTGGCATTTTGGTTATTCAGAAGAAGTTGTTTTAAGTTTTTAACATATTTGACCCATGTGACCTTGGAAATGGGTGGTAATTCATCCCAACATGCTCCTGGCAAAATATCATCACCCTGCGCCTTTTAGTTATTCAGAAGAAGTTGTTTAAAGTAATATATTGATGCCGGACGACGGACGGACGATGCACCACGGCATAAGCTCAATTGCAAAACGTTATCTGTTAATGTCATCAGCGCATTATTACGGCGTCTTACTTTAATATATATATATAAGCAAAGTAGCAAACAAACACACAATCTCTGATTTCCATTGATAGTTGAATCTTACAACTGATTGGGCAGAAAATGAATGTTTTGGTGGCCATCTTGAAAAAGAATCAAACATCATATATTTTCCAAACATCTTCGTTGTTGATTAAATACTCATTCCATCCAAACTGGAACATTTTTTTTCTTCTTTTCTGTCATTTTTCAATGATAATGATTAGACTTTACATATAGCCATGAATTTTGATGTATAGACCATATAGTCATTTGATCCCTTTTTTGAATATGTTCCACCACATATTTTGGATTGATATTTTTGTCACTGGTAGTTCAGGACCAAGTCCAGCTATAATCAAAATATGTTTAGTATATAAAAGATATAAGATACTTTTATTCTAAGATCAACACATTTTTGTCTAGAAAATATCATTGCTCGAGATGGTTACTGGATGCTGAATTGTCTGTTAACTAACCAAAGCAAGGTTTTTTTATTTGAATACTGAAGTATATGATCCGTAGTTTTGGTTGCATCATAAATGATCCTTCAGTGCATAGTTAGTTTTGCTTCTACAAACATGCCTTTCAACAACTTACTAAATATGTTTATCAGTTCAAAATTAAACATGCACAACTACAGTTCAAGGGAAACTAAACAAGAGGCCCAGAGGGACTGTATCGCTTACCTGGATACCAAAGCAATCATGTCAAAATATTCTCCGAGTGAGATCAAGGGAATATGCCAGACCCCAAGGCATATCTGTATTAGATTCTTCATGCCCAGCAGTTGTATGTATGGTANGTCTGCAAGGGTGGGGCAGACCCTGGGGTCAATTCTAATATCATGACTGCATTCGTCTTTTTATGCCCAACAATTGTATATATAGTTTTGGGGTGAGGATCTAAACCATTTCGAAGTTATGACCCAGGGGTTAAGTCTCCAAGGGTGGGGCAGTCCCCAAGGCCATCCTGGAAGCATATGTGCTATCATCTCTTTATACTCAGCAATTGTATATACCGTTATAGGGTGGGGCTCTCAACTGTTTCCAAGCTGTGACTAACAAACTAGGTCCCTAGGGGTTCGGTCAGACCCCAGGGTCTATTCGATATCATGACTGCATTCGTCTTTTTATGCCCAGCATTTATATATATAGTTTTGGGGTGGGGATCTCAACAGTTTTAAAGTTATGGCCAAGGGCTTATGTCTCTAAGGGTGGGGCCAGACCTATAGCCATCCTGGAATCAAATGTGCATTCTTCTGTTTGTACTCAGCAATTGTATACCATGGTTATATGGTGGGGATCTCAACCATTTCCAAGTAATACATTTTTTTTGGTCCCACCACTTAGCCCGGGGGGTCAGCCCCAACATTTGTACAATTTTGAATCCCTGCCTCCCATGAATGCTTCCGACCAAATATGATCAATATCCATGGCATAGTTCTACAGTAGAAGTCGTTTATAGCAATATAGCCAAATTGCCCCCTTTTTGGCCCCGCCCTCAGCCCCCTGGGGGCTCAGCCCCACCATTTTGAATCCCCACCACCTAGGGATGCTTCCAGTCAAATATGGTTGATATCCACCTCTTAGTTCCAAAGAAGAAGTCGCTTATAGCAATATTGCAAAAAAATGACCCCTTTTTGCCCCGCCTCGCAGCCCCCCTGGGGGGTCAGCTCCATCATTTGAACAATTTTGAATCCCTGACACCTAGGGATGCTTCCAGTTAAATATGGTTGACATCGACTTCTTAGTTTCAGAGAAGAAGTCGCTTACAGCAATATAGCCAAATTGACTCCTTTTGGCCCCACCCCTCAGCCCCCTGGGGGGTCAGCCCAACCATTTGTACAATTTTGAATCCCTGCCTCCCATGAATGTTTCCAGTCAAATATGGTTGATATCCATGGCATAGTTCTACAGAAGAAGTCGTTTGTAGCAATATAGCCAAATTGCCCCCTTTTTGCCCCGCCCCTCAGCCCTCTGGGAGGTCAGCCCCATCATTTGTACATTTTTGAATCCCCACCACCTAGGGATGCTTCCAGTCAAATATGGTTGATACCCACGTCTTAGTTCCAGAGAAGAAGTCGCTTAAAGCAATATAGCCAAATTGACCCCTTTTTTGCCCCGCCTCTCAGCCCCCTTGGGGGTCAGCCCCACCATTAGTACAATTTTGAATCCCCACCACCTAGGGATGCTTCGGACCAGGTGAGCTAAAAACGAACCTAGTACTCATTTGGATTGTAATGGGTGTTTTTGTTATGATTAAGTTTAGGTGTTCACTTCATCTAAAAAAATCGAAATCAAATGAGGGGCCATTTTGGACCCCCCCCCCCCCCCCTACCCCTGAATTATTTAAAAGTCTGATTTTTTTGCATCTGATGTAAAACCTTGTATTCTTATATAACTTGAAATCCTGACAATTTAGCTGATTTCAGATGAAATTGTGTTAAGTATGTAGATATATCAAAACATTCTATTCCTGAAAGAATTTGACTATTTTCAATTTTTGAATTTAGAACAAATTCTGGAATTTCAGGCAAATCAATATTTTTCAAAAGATTAACAGTTTTATTGTCATACAAAATCAAGGAAGATAACCAAACAAACTGTGTGAGAAGATTTTTGACTTTTTTTTGTAAATTTAGTGGTGTTTTTTTTTTTGTATTAGCTGGTATTATTGTCACTTGCCATACTTGATAAACCACTACATTTCAATTATTTCCAGACTTAATATTATATAAGGTAAGTTAAAATTTGAAGATGTATCTGAATATTTTGTTCCTGAAGGAATTTGTCAATTTTCAGATTTCATCTGCTGACGTCAGCAGTTCCCTGACGTGTGTTCCGTCCCCAGATATCTGTACGACGTTTTGTGAAGCAAAGCCACACAAGTAGATGTTTCCCTCTCTATCAACGTTAAGTCCAGTAGCATTACTCACGAGACCGACTTTCAACAAACTCTTTAGATGTTTGTCAGCCGACAGTCTGGACAGCACAACTTTCCCCTAAGTGTAATTAAGACAACTGATCAGTATGTCTTTATTTGTTTGGTCATGTGAGACGAAATAACACCTACCACTATACTGATATAACAGCTCAGCAGAGCCGTCCTGTGTCACACTGTACACTTTTGCTTCTTCTGTGTCTGTACAAACGACAAACTTCCCATTGATATAGGTTACACCCCGGCAGCCTTTATTATCTGGCATACAGATCACGGAAGAAAGTGAGATTTTAGAGTTTTCGACTTTCACGACATGGACACCACCAGGGCTGCTAACTGCCACAGCCACTGTTTCATCGTCCACAAAACAAACATCAAAGGGACTTCCTCGTATGGTCAACTCATCCAGGTGCTGTCCTTTATCTGTAAACAGCTTCAGCTTTTTGTTGCTGTGATCACTTACTACTACTTGATTATACGGAAGGAACACAACGCCAGTTGCATAACAAACTTTCTCATCTGATGTAGTTTTTATATCAAACTGTTGTACTTCTCTTACGCGACGCCCGGACATTGGTGAAGCTAGGTAACCATGACTCTCAGGAAAGCGTCGTGGTGGTTTCTCAATGACGATATTCCCCATAGCGCCATTACCGAAGGTCACAAGTTCGTGTTCGGTCTGATGCTGAATATTGACGGACGTGAAAGATTCGTTCATCTCCATGACCACGGTCTTACACGACTCCACTTCAGCCTGTCCTCTCTTATACAACACTATTGTTTCCGTGTTTTCATTTCACTCTGTAGCTTTAATGGACGACTTCAGGGTGTTTCGCATACTGTTCTTTAGACGTTCGCATTGCCGGAAGGAGTCGTCTAATTTCCTCTTTTCGTCTTTGAACAGCGTTATTAACTTGTCTGTGCAGTTCTTCTGAAGCTCGTCAAGCCGTTTGTCGACTCTATGACGTAGATCTGTAATACTCTGGAGTGCGATTTCTTGGTTCTTTACCATAGCTTGTAGCTGTTCGTCAAAGTCCTTCACTAAGGAGTTCATGACCTCTGAACCTTTCTTCAGTGCTGCCTGCATATCTGTCAGTTGCGATCCTGCTTTCAACTTCTGAAAATACTCTTTCGTTGTTGTCACTGCTTCACAACGTCTGTGGTCTTTTAAAACGCATATGTTACAACCGAGATGTTTGTGATCTTCACAATACCAAACCATATCCTCGTCGTGTTGGTCACAGTGAGGAACAGAGTTCTGTTTTGGTCTATTGTTGTCATGCCTGGTAATATCTAAAACATCGCATTCAAAATGTATGATATCGTGGTAATCAACTTTACAAGTCTCACAAAAACCGGATTCCATTTTCTTACACCAGAACTTGGCAGGATTGGACGGATTACCTTTTGTTTGACAAGGTGTGCAGTACAGTGGTTCAGACGACTGTTCCTTAAGCTTGATCAGTTCTTGGATCACACCATTAGTTGGAAACTGTTTAGCCCAGTTTTCTTTGGTTTCCGCTTGATTGACAGGCGTAGCCATCCCTCTGCAAACTGGACACGGAAAGGATGTCGCTGACGCCATCTTACCAGACAACTCCTTGGTGATGTAGATCCCGAGGCAATCCTGACAGAAGCAGTGGAGGCAGGGTAGGGTTTTAGGTTGCCGAAGTCGCTCCAGACAGATAGGACACTCCAGTAAGTGTAAGTCTAGTTCCGGGATGTGCCCGCCTTCAGCCATTTTCATGGTCAGATTGGTGCAACTGTAACACGAAAAATAAAGATACGCATGTGTTAATTCAATTGATATATGACCGAAACCTTAACCAATAACTGTTAACTAAATTCTAATATTAGTATAAATAGTTTGTTGTAAGATAGCCTGTGATAGTGATATTTTCGAAAATGTAATTTATACCATTGTTGTACGGGTACATTACAAACCTAATAAAATATCGTTGATGTTTCCAAATATCTAATGCATTTGATAAACAGATTAAGTCACCCTAAAATATTGTTGATTGATAGTTTTGCACATTTTAAATACATGCTATACATGACAACAACTTTAGAAACTTGTTCAGAGTAATTACGAAATAAAAAGTAATCGACAAAAAAACCGTCATGCATATAAATTATGCTTGGAACATTCATTCGCCGAATTACATACAAAACAATGTAACCAGTATGACTGGATCAATTAACCTGATTAACTTGATATCAACATTATTTTTTTGAAAACTATTTATCGTAATATTTTATGATATGGTGCATATTAAATATTACTTATATTTAATTTTAATTAATACGTATATGTACTACCACAATGCAATCTAAAACGAATATAATTAGACTCTCTGTAATGTGCTTCCCTTCAATGTATGAAAGAATTCGATATTGACATTCAGTTTGCATTTACGAAATAGTACATGTAAGAAGAGGCCTTTATGGTCACTTGATTTGTAATACAACTGTCATTAAATTGGTGTTGTTATTTTACAACAAAAAAGCACATATAATCCACATATGGCGTTTTGTGGGTTTGTGACAAAATGATGTTGGAAAGTGATCAACATAGACTACAATCTTACCTAGTGAGACAAGAGACATGTAGCAGCTCTAATAGATTACCCGGCATTTCTTTTCAATTTAAAATAAATATATTTTGGAACAAGGGGCGGACAAGACACCAAGAACCTGAATGTATGTTTATTCATGCCTAGCAACTATATGTTTGGAGGCATGGTAGTCTTGGGAGGCACGGTAGTCTAGTGTAGGACGCCGGGCTCGTGACCGAAGGGTTGCGGGTTCGCGTCACGGCACGGTGTTGTATCCTTGAGCAAGATACTTTAACTCCACTTGTTCCAGTCTACTGAGCTGTAAATGAGTACGTGGTTGGGCAGTGCTAGAATTTTTGAATGCTAGCTGTGAGCGCCGAAATGGCAGCACTGGCTGAATGCTCCCCAGGGAGTTGAGAAAGATATTGGCTGGTTCAAAGGCCCTATAACCACGGATAATGATTTGTGAACCGCTTTGAGACAACCTACGAACTAGGTTGTGATAAAGCGGTATATAAGAACCTCACATTATTATTATTATTATATGTATGGTTATAGGGTGGGGATCTCAACTGTTTCCAAGCTGTGAAAATGATATAAAAACAAGTGATAATAAAAGAATTGAATTACACAGAGTATATAGCAGAAAAAACGGTGCATCAAGAAAACATGATAATAACCGACGTGATATTAAGTGAATGTACTGTATCATGACTGCATTCGTCTCTTTATGCCCAGCATGTGTTAATATAGTTTTGGGGATCTCAACCTTTTTAAAGTTATGGCTCAGGGACTATGTCTCCTAGGGTGGGGCCAGACCTAGGGTCATCCTGAAAGCAAATGTGCATTCTTCTCTTTATACTCAGCAACTGTATATTTGGTTATATGGTTGGGATCTCAACCATTTCCAAGTAATACATATTTTTTGGCCCCACCCCTTAGCCCGGGAGGTCAGCCCGACCATTTGTACAATTTTGAATCCCTGCCTCCCATGAATGCTTCCGACCAAATATGATTGATATCCATTGCAAAGTTCTACAGCAGAAGTTGTTTGTAGCAATATAGCCAAATTGCCCCCTTTGGCCCCTCCACTCAGCCCCTTGGGGGTCAGCCCAACCATTTGTACAATTTTAAATTTCAACCACCTAGAGATGCTTCCAGTCAAATATGGTTGATATCCATCTGTTAGTTCCAAAGAAGAAGTCGCTTAAAGCAATATAGCCAAATAACCCTTTCGGCATCGCCCCTCAGCCCCCTGGGGGATCAGCCCAACCATTTGTACACTTTTGAATTCCTGCCTCCTATAAATGTTTTTGATTAAATATGATTGATATCCAGTGCATAGTTCTACAGAAGAAGTCGTTTGTAGCAATATAGCCAAATTGCCCCTCAGCCCCCTGGGGGTCAGCCCAACCGTTTGTACAATTTTGAATCCCCACCACCTAGGGATGCTTTCAGTCAAATTTAGTTAAATTCCAATCAGTGGTTAAGAAGAAGTCGTTTAAAGAAACTGTTGACGGACGGACGACGGACACCACTGCAAGGCATAAGCTCACCTTGGTCCTTTGGACCCGGTGAGCTAATAAAGTGGTAGGTATGTAACACAGGTCATTTTTTTAAAAACTTTTTTACAAATACTCCTTTGAATTTTATATGTGGAATAAAGTGCCGGGTATGTAACACAGATCTTTATGCAATGACTTTTCTAGGAGACGAACCCAAGACCTCTGGTTTACCAGTCTTACACTCTACTGAATGAGCTAAAGAGAAATTCTCCGTAGCCAAGTTGATAGGAAGCGGCAAGTATTTTACCAGTGTGACAGGTAAAGCAATTATTTCCATGCTATGACACAGAGATTAAGTACCCTGGGTCATTCCTGGTAATCTGAGTGTCTTTTTGTCTCTTTGAGGAAACGATTGCATTGATTAATAACATTTGAAAGTTAAGACATAGGGACTAATTCTTCGGGGTTGGGGCAAGATACCAGGTCCATCCTGGTAACATATATGTATATGTATATATGTATTCTTTATACTCAGTAATGTATATATGGTCAACCCCATTTGGGTCAGCCCTTCCTTCTGTTCAATGTCAAACAACATGAGAATGCTTCCAACCAAATTTAAATATAGTCGATCACCATATATCTAATGGTTCCAGAGGAGAAGTCAATTTTACCAGTATGCTCCAAAAAGCAACCATCCATTTACACAAAAAGCAACCATCCATTTACACAACATGAGTCCCCTTTGGCCGAGGACGCTCTACATAAAATTTGGCTTAAATGCCTGCACTCAAAGCAAAAGAGAAGTGTTTTATACTCAAGATCTATCTCAAGTCACCCTATTGGTTCCCACCCGCCACTTTCTCCGTTTATATTTAATTGAGAGTTCCTTTGCCAATGAGGATGTTCTTGATCTGTTTTGATAGACAAGAGTCCCAATCGCCTGCATCTGTAACCTGAATAGTGGACTAAAATTAAGCTACGGGCAAAATATCAGTGTCTCGACTTAAAGTCATTCAACAGAACATGTTAAACAATTTAAACACATTTGACCCCTGTGACCTTGAAAGTCAAACATGGACATTACGTTGAACAAAATGTATAGTCCTTCATCCCAGAATGCAACTTGCCAAATATCACCACCCTGTACCTTTTGTTTATTGAGAAGATTACTTTTAAAGATTTATGAACAATTGACCAGATGTGACCTTGAAAGTGTGTCAATGTCATTCACAAGAACAAACAATCAACATTAACGTTTTGATTATACAGAAGAAGTCGTTTAATGATTTCACCATAGTTGACCCCTGTGACCTTGAATATAGGCGAAGGTCATACATTTAAACAAATTTAGTAGCCCTTAATCCCCACATGCTACTGGTCAAATATCATCACCCAATGCCTTCTGGTTATTCATGAGAAGTTGTTAAAATATCTTAACATCTTTGACCCCTGTGACCTTGAGATTTGGCTAAGGTCATTTATTTGAACAAACTTGGTTTCAACCAAGCATTATAGAGACCAAATACCATCACCCTAGGCCTCCTGGTTATTCTATGCCTTTGGATTATTCAAAAGTCATTATATGTTTTGACATATTTGACCCCAGTGACCTTGAAAGTAGGTCAAACTTTGCCAACCTCAATCCAAAGAAGATACCAGCAAAATATTAAGATTCTATACCGTTCATTTCTTCAGAGGTCATTTGAAGTGTTTGACACATTTGACCCCTGTGACATTGATAAAAGGTCAAGGTAGTTTTAACTGGCAATCTTTGTCGGGCTTTAATGAATGTTGCTTTTAGCCAAATATCAAGACTCTATGCCTGTCCTTTATTCAGAAGCTGTCATTTGATGTGTTTAACAATATGACCCATATGACCTTGAAAGGACGTAAGTCAAAGTAATTTTAGTTCTCAGAATTTGTTGGGCTCCACCAAAAGAAGCTATCCGGCCAAATATGAAGATTATATACCTTCCAGTTCTTCAAAAGAATTTGTTTGAAGCATTTGACACATTTGAACCCTGTGACCTTGAAAGAAGGTCAAAGTCATTTTAGTTCTCAAACTATGTCAGGCTCTTACGATTGAAGCTTTCAGCCAAATATCATGACTCTAGGCCTGTCCATTATTCAGAACAAGCCATTTAATGTGTTTGACATATTAATCCCATATGACCTTGAAAGCAGGTCAAGGTCATTTTCGTTCTCAAAATTTGTCGAGCTCCATCAAAAGAAGCTATCAGCCAAATATTAAGATTATGTACCTTTCAGTTCTTCTTCAGAAGTTGTTTTAAGGTAATAGGATTGTGTCACCATTTCTCAGTAGAATTTCTTCAAATTTTGTAGTTATATTGCTTTGAAGTAAAGAAAATATTTTCTGCCAACAAAAAAATACAGGTTGTCAGAATTTTAAGAATTTAAATGGAAATTTATGTAAAAAGGAGTGAATTTTGAAAAAAAACACACCACATATTGGTTTGAAAAATAATGTCACTAGAAATGATACTGACATAGATAAGTATTACATTAATGTATATAAATTTCATCAATACTGAAATTGTGTGAAATTAATTATCTATAAACGATAAAAAATTGACATTTTATAATAAAACCATATGCACATAGTAATTGCATGTTAGAGTTATCGTTCTTGAAAAACTTCACAGTAGTGAAATATGTAGCCGGTTTCCTGAAGTACAGAAAAATGGACACATGTGACTCATTGCTTATATTGCTTCAACGTAGTTTTTCTCATCTGTTCTTTCTATTTACATGTACAAATTTTTTATTTATTCATGAATTTATTATTTATTCTTTATTCTTGGTAAATAATGGCATCAGACAAGTGTGGTATTTCTTAGAGAAACGCTTAGATTATAACTTTCAATTTGACTTCTGCAATCCTTTATAAAACCAGAAAATTTGTTTTATTTGAATTATGTCCACATCTCAATGCGATTTGTAACGTCCTAATTTTATTTTATTTAACGACTCAATATCATAGATTGTATCTCAGAAGATTCAAACCAGACACATCACGAAATGTGATATGTTTCAATAATATCGCTCACTTATAAAAAATGAACCTGTTTCAGGAAAAAATATCAGATAGAACACAAGATGTAAACAAAATTTGAAATTAAGATTTGTCCGATACCCTGCGTGGACTTATTAATGGGGATGCCATATTTTACACCTCTCGATGTCTGCTTATCTTAACATGGACGTGGGTAACCCTTCTTATCCAAATACCTTCACGCAGGTGAGCTAACAAAATTAAAATCCATAATTTGCAAACCCACATACCTGGTATTTTTCTGCCATGTTACCTGAAACAAACATAATTTTTGTTTTGACCAGATCAGGCCTTAAACTCATAATTACGATGGTTGGTGAGATGTTTGCTAGTACTTCCTATAGGGACCATTTATTACTTTGAAAGTACCAAACAGACAATTAACAGAAATAACCATATTAGTGTCTGATATGCATTAAACCACAGAATTTTTATCTAAAACCCATGGTAAAACCAAGATGGTCTGTTACGTTGCAATGGTTTGTATAAAGCTACGATAACATAGCTTCTGAAGATGAGACTTTTTTATATATTGCGACTTCTGAGCTACAAAGCAGTCCTGTGCTAACTAATGGAGCAAAATCGAAAGTGCCAAACTGTAAGATTTCATATAATTCGCGTCTCAATCATATGAGTATAATGTTATCAAAATATTGCATTATTTTTGAAATAATGAATCTTTACTAATAACAACAAGAGGCCCATCCTCGATATCCAGGGGTTACGTTTACTTTCGCGAACATAGCTGTTAGATTGGTCTCAGGTAAAAAAAATCTGACCAATCGCTGGGCCGATACCTGTCCTTTGAAGATTACAAAGGAGAGACACCCGACTTCAAAGCCTGTCAATGTTTACCATTACGTGACCGCAAAATTCTTTTGATGTACATCAAAGGATCGAACTAGTCTTCAACAAGGTGGCGCACACCGAGCCTTCAATTTTGCCATGACATATTCCAGGGGTGTAGAGAGCAAACGTGAGCGTAACCCCTGGATATCGAGGATGCAAGAAGCCCTGAGGGCCTGTATCGCTCACCTGTTCCTTTTGTTACATGAAGCTGATATATAGGTAACTTCAGACAAAATTTGGTAACCAGAACACAAGACATTTAAACACTCTTAAACGGTTCTTAAGATCTTGTTGTTTGAAATTTGAATTTTTAAACTTTTATCCTACGTTGACCTTTGACTCCAGCTAACACTTTAAGTTGACATTTTACCTCATTACTGTAATACAGAAAAAGATTCGCACTGCTGGTCTACATCACACACTGAAGTATCAGGACTCTAGTCTAAAGGCTTCTCATGATATTGTTGTTTGAAGTTTTTAACATATTTGACGCCTGTGACCTTGAAACTAGGTCAAGGTCATTGTATCGAGAAAACTTTATAGCACTCCATCCCAGTTACCTGCTGGCTAAATATCATGACCCTGGGCCTTATGGAACTTGAGAAGAAGATTATTAAAGTTTTTAACCCATGTCGACATATATCACCTAACTAGCACTTATGAACAAAGTTGACCTTTGACCACAAACTCAAGTATCATGTCTCTTTCTTTTTAACATGTTTGACCCCTGTGACCTTGAAACTATGTCAAGGTCATTTTAACATAAAACTTTATAGCACTTCATTCCAGGTACCTACTGGCCATATATCCTGACCCTAGGTCTTTCAGTTCTTTAGAAGAAGTTGTTCAAAAGAAAAAGTTCACGGATGTATGGCATAAGCTCACCTGACCATGTGAGCTAAAAAAAACTTTCACAGAATTAGCCAAGTCCATCTTTGGGAAAAAAATGACCGCCATGACAGATCACGTGTGATGTTATCTCAATTATTCATTTCTATATATGGCCTGCATGGCCAAATATAGATTGAGTACTGATGCAGCCATGTTTATTACAATTTTCATATTGGGTCATGACACCCATATATAGACGTCTGACTTATATCGGAAGAGTTACAAAGTTTCCAACATGGCCAGCCCACAAATCAAATTTGATAATTTAACGACATTTTAGGCAGAGTTTAACTTCAGGTTACATGTATATAGGAGATCAACGGAAATATTTCATATTTCAAACCTATTTATGGATAAGGACCCATGTGCAGCAGGTGACCATTTGAATCAGATAGAATGATCTGTTAATCTGAAGGGAAACTTGAATCATATTAATGATAAAATATGGCCTGTGTAATAGTGAAGTAAATATAAATCTTATTTTTTAACCCGATATACATACAATAATGTTCTACATGTTAATTTGTAACAATTTCATCTCTAATGAAGGGAAGTTGTAGATTGTGCATGCACAAATAACATTGATTTTTTTTATTGTAACAGGAGAAAGAGAAATGCATGGCCAGACCGGGGTTCGAACCCGGGACCTTCTGAACTCTAGACGGATGCACTACCAATTGCACTATAAAGTCGCCGACTGTGGACCCAGTCCAGTTTCACTACATTATTATTATTTTTTGTATAAATTATATACAGATAAAATCATGTTCTACATGTTGATTTCATACAATTTCATCTCCTATGAGGGAAGTGATAGATTAGATTAGATAGTACATTGATTTTTTTGTTATTATTATTTTTTGGAAATTGTTCTTTTCTATTAACACAGACCATTCAAAAGGTGCTTATTTTGAAATATTAAAAAACAACGCTATGGACAAACTGGGCAGATTTAACACTAAGATAAAGTATTTTCTATACTGGACTAAAAACAGTGTCAATTACAAAATAACTTTGATCAAATTCAAGCTTTTACAATTGTACAAAAGGACAAACGCAAAACCTTATAACATAATGTGTATAAAGCTGGTTGGCTGTAGGTGTACATTATGTAATTTTTCCTATATTCGTATTAGTTTCCGACATGCACAAATCATGCTGTCTGTCAATGGATCAGTACTAGAAGTAGCCTTGCTCATGTCCGCAAATTTGAAAGATGTTGGGATTACTATTCAAACACGTGATTGTGGCAGCTTTAGTGAACACTGTCTAATGATAGTTTGTTTATATCAAGTATAAGGGCATGTTATTTCTAGCTGCGAGTACTAGGGACAAAGGTATCGAATACTTTCGTTTTCTATACACGTACTGAAGTGAAAGTATGACAGCATTTTAAATATTGATTCCTGTCAATAAAAAGTTCGAGTCTGTTTAATGAAAGATAACACTGACACTAACAACACTGTTACACATATTACTCACCGTGTGAACTGAAGATATGATAATTAAGGCACAGACAGCTCTGTGTTTTCAAGACACAATACGTTCTTCCTTGTCCTGCCCGAACACGGATGTTGCCTATACACCTATAAGCAAAGAATCGGACTTGCGGCATAAAAGTTCCGGAATGTTAAAGTTTGGTTTGTTGTATTGGTTTTAAAGGATAATTTCACTTAATCTTATATATTTACAGAAACTGTTTTCTTTATCTTAACATAAATAAATTGAGGATCAGGTATGTTTTAATATATATATATATTTATGTATTTCTTGTATCGGACGTCTGTAATTACCCGCCTCATACATGTACATAGTGTACGTCAACGCAGTGAAACCTGAAAACTTTCTTTGTTTTTGATACATATAGTTGTTAACTTTCAAGTTTGACCAACATATATACATTTTGCAGATAGCACAAACAGAGACGTATATATATACTACAGAGTGGCTGTATATGTCACTAGCACAAAGCTGTGTGTATGATGTTAACTCACATTTATATTCCAGTGACGGGTCACCCTAATGAGTGTCCTCCGGGTAATGAGTGTCCTCCGAGTGTCCTCCGAGTGTCCTCCGAGGTTTTTGCGCGCCCGCGAGTTTGTTATATGATTTATTTCACTTATTTCTTCTGATTCCTAAACATTGTTCATATATCTAGGTGTGTGCAAAATTTAAGGTCGATCGTAACAGTACAAAGTACCGAAATACGTCGATAAAAATGCATATTTGGGAAGAATGAGTGTCCTCGGAGGTTTTTGCGCGACCGCGAATTCGTTAATCAATATTTTTTACTTCTGTTTTCGGATTCATAAAGATTTTCCATTTACCAAACTGTGTGCAAAATATCAGGTCGATCATAACAGTAGAATGTACCGAAATATAAGAAATACTTTTTTCGTCATTTTTCAAACGATTTCGATTCATTCCGGCCACCACTTTTGCGAATAATATGAAAGATATGTTTAAACAATTGGTATCACATTAACAAGTGCAAAATTCCCTTGACCAGAGTGGTCTCCGAACAAAAATCGGTTCAGTACCTTTTGAGATATGAGTATTTATTAGAACGAAAACAGTTGAAAATATTGCCATTTTTATTTCATAGTGGTTCATTCCGGCCACCACTTTCACTTCCAATATTAAATAATGGTACGCATAACTTATATCATTGTGACAGGTATAAAATTATCTTTCCTAGGCTGGTATCCGAATGAAAATCCATGATATATTATAGGAGATACAGCCTAATATATACAATAATTCAACAAAATAATCTTCACGCCTGAGTGCATTCCGGGTTTTGTCCTCACCCACTTTTATACCGTAGTTCCGATTCTTTGCTTATAGTTGTATAGGCAACATCCGTGTTCGGGCGGGACAAGGAAGAATGCATTGTGTCTTGAAAACACAGACCTGTCTACGCCTTAATTATCATATCTAAAGTTCGCACGGTGAGTAATATGTGCAACAGCGTTGTAAGTATCAGTTTGATCTTCAATTAAACAGGCTTGAACTTTTTATTGACAGGAAATTCCTGAGGAATCAATATTGAAAATGCTGTCATACTTTTTCTTCAGTACGTGTATAGAAAACGAAAGTATTGTCCCTAGTATTTGTCAGCTTCAAATAACATGTTCTTATACTTGATATTAACAAACTATCATTAGACAGTGTTCATTAAAGCTGCCACAATCACGTGTTTAAATAGTAATCCCAACATCTTTCAAATTTGCGGACATGAGCAAGGCTACTTCTAGTACTAATGCATTGACAGATCTAGACCAGCATGATTTGTGTATCTCGGAAATCAATACGAACATAGGAAAAAAACTACATACATGTACACCTACAGCCAACAAGCTTTATACACATAAGGTTATTAGGTATTGTGTTTTGTCCTTAAATACAATTGTAAAAGCTTGAATTTGATCAAAGTTATTTTGTTGACACTGTTTTTAGTTCAGTAGTTCAGTATAGAAAATACTTTGTGTTAAATCTGGCCAGTTTCTCCATGGCGTTTTTTTTTCAATATTTCAAAAAATAATAATAACCAAAAAAAACAATATACTTTGTGCATGGACAATCTACCACTTCGCTCATAGGAGATGAAATTGTATGAAATCAACACGTAGGTTTATACAGAAGCTGAATGTGAATGTCTTTGTGGCTAGGTATACATGGAAATGTCTTATTCCTTCTACTAACGCTAACCCTTCCAAATCTGTTATGCCCCAGTTTTTCTCTGCCTTTCTCAATGACCTACCCCCATAGGCTACAGCTCTTTTCTTTCCATCACCATCTCGCTGTCCTAATATATACCCTATTGCCTTAGTGGATGCATCCACATAGAGAATGAATTCTTTGTCAAAATCTGGGTACACTAGAATTGGTGCCGTAGTCAAGCATTGTTTCATACTGTCAAAAGCACTTTGACATTTTTCTGACCAGAGGAATTTGGTTTCATTTTTCAGGAACTCATTCAGAGGTGCTACAATCTCTGAAAACCCTTTCACAAACCTACGATAGTAATTACATAGTCCTAAGAATGCCCTGACATCATGTACTGACTTGGGAATGGGATATTCTGTCACTGCCTTTATTTTCTCATGGTTCACACTGATACCATCCTTTGAGAAAACATGGCCAAGCTATTTTACCTCAGACCCTGCAAAATGGCATTTCGAAAGTTTCAGATAAGCGTCCCGCAATCTCTGAAAAACCTGAGCCAAATGATCTATGTGCTCCTCAAATGTTGAAGAGAACACCAGGATATCATCTATGTAGACGAGAGCAAACTTATAGTTTATGTCCCTCAACACCCCAGACATCACCATCGAAAAGGCTGATGGTGAGTTTGAAAGTCCAAATGGGAGCTTAGCATATTGGTAGACACCCTGATATGTCACAAAACCTGTTTTTGCCTTGGAATCCTCTGTCAGAGGAATTTGCCAAAGCCCTGATCGTAAATCCAAGCTAGTGTAGTATTTAGCCTTTGCCTGCCCTATCGTGTCTGATATGTCATCAAACCTGGGGATTGGGAAGCTCAGTGGTTCAGTGACCTGATTTACCTTGCGGTAGTCAATGGCACACCTATATTCTCCATTCAACTTTTTCACTAGTACCACTGGACTTTGCTAAGGTGTATTAGCCTCTTCAATTATGTTGTTTTCTAACATTTCCTTGGTTTGTCTCTCTATTTCTGCCTTAGCTTGAGGAGATGTCCTGTAAAATCTTTGCTTGATAGATTTAGCATTACCAGTATCTATTTCATGAAAATACAAGTCTGTTGTTCCAAGCTCTGTCAAATCTTTAGCAAAAATATCCCTATTGTCACCAAGGAAAGCTAGGAGATTGTTATTCTCTACTTCTGTTAGTGTAGCAGAATTTACCTGGGCACCTAAATCTCTAGCTTTGTTAATGTTCTCTCTGGTAACAAAACCTGATAACTTTTCAAAGGTATTTCCCTGAGGTTCAGCCACACTTTTCAGAGAAGCAACACCATCATCAGCTGATGACTGCTCTCGAGGAATCTCGCCCAATAAATCCTCCTGACTTACTGATGTAACTAAAGCGATTGGTTGTCCAACCTTGAGTTCAACAAAGAAATTAGTCGGTTTCAACACTTGGTACACTGTCTTGTTTTTCTTAACCTCAGACACAGTTCTGGCACCCATAACATTACATTTAGAAGGTAGGCTGGAAATAGGGCCTAACATCTTTAATCCTTGTCCCCATCTACGACTTCTGGTTTCCACTGGAATTCTAGCAACCGATTGAGGTGCTATTTGGATATTACAAGCCAGTCTGGCTAAGCTTGACTTGCGCTTGACTCTTGACTCTAGAAATGCAACTATTGCAATGCCTACCTCTAACTCTAGGCAGTCATTCCCACAGTCTATTTTAGCATGATGTTTCCTCAAAAAATCTGTACCCAAAATTAAGGGAAAGCTTAAATTATCAACCATTTGAAACTTTTGTGTCATTTCTAAATGTCCAATTGAGAGTGGAATAGTTACCTGACCTCTGATCTCTGTGTCACTGCCATTGGCACTGTGTAACCTTTTCAAATCAGACCTCTCTATTTCAAAAAATTTTCCTAATCCTGTATTATTAAATACTTTACTGCTTATACAAGAAACACCCTCTGCTCCTGTATCTATCAATGCTGAAAATGTTTTAATGCCTAACCTTACTGGTACCTGATATTTGTCTAAGGGTTTGGTGACACTACCCTGATTGCTATTGGGTTGCCCATCTCTAGGGACAGGCGCGTACCCCTATTTATTCTTAATATATTTCTGGGTTCTAGTATGGAGGTTTCTACATATGGCCTTGATGTGACCTTTTCTACCACAATTATAACATGAAGCATTTTGGAACCTGCATCTTTTAGCAACATGCCAGTACTCACCACAGTGGCGACATTGGTCCCTTTTTCTCCTTTCCTGATGTTGGTCACTCTGCGTCCTAACACTGTTCACCTTTTTAAGACTGGTCTAGTTCCTTTTTAGCCCACCATCATCTGATGGTGGGCTATTCAAATCACCCTGCGTCCGTGGTCCGTCCGTGGTCCGTCCGTAAACAATTCTTGTTATCGGTATTTCTCAAGAAGTACCAAAGGGATCTTTCTCAAATTTTATATGCAGGTTCCCCTTGGTCCTTAGCTGTGCAGGGCAACTTTTGAGACTGATCGGATAAACAACATGGCCGACAGGCAGCCATCTTGGATTTTGATAGTGAAAGTTTGTT